AAGCCAGGCTGATGGCTGCCAGTACAGCGGTGGTGGTGGGAGCCTCTCCTGCCTCCTCAGCAGCGCTAAGGATGTCTGACTGCAGCTTAGGTCTGCTCCCTGCTGGCAAATGGACATCCCCCGAGGGCTGCCGGGATGCCAGAGGGATGTCTGATTGCCATCTTAGGCCCAATCCCCCGGGGAGCAGGCCTAAGCCAGCAAGTAGTCACCCCCGAGGGATCCCAGACTGTGAGAGAGCACAGGCTGGGCTGAAGGACCCCCTACCCCCGAGTGCACAAATTTTTGTGCACCGGGCCTCTAGTCCTAATATATAAAAAGCCAGGGGCCGTCACGACCAAAACACTGGACTGACAACCGAACAGCAGACTGCATGGGGCGACCAGGCCAGCAGCAGGGGAGAGGGGGGGGCGGTTGGGGGTGACCAGGCTGGCAGGCAGAGGCAGTTAGGGGTGATCAGGCTGGCAGGGGGGGTAGTTAAGGGCGATCAGGCAGGCAGGCAGGTGAGCAGTTAGGAGCCAGAGGTCCCAGATTGTGAGAGAGATGTCTGACTGCTGGTTTAGGCCCCATCCTCAGGATTGGGCCTAAATCGGCAGTTGGACATCCCCTGAGGGGTCCCGGATTGGAGTGGGTGCAGGCTGGGCTGAGAATTTCGTGCACTGGGCCTCTAGTAAATAAATAAAAGGCTAATTGAGCATCAGATTGATACTAAGATATAGAAAATACAGCAGTGTTTTTAGTTACTGTTTAGTATTATTGCTAAAATATTTATTTACAGACACGTGCACAGAGATGGTCCTGATAAAATGCTATACTGTTCTGAGCATGTATTTTGTTTTAGCTGAGTTAAAAAGAGAAGGCCACTTGGCTCTGCAATGGACAGATACAGAAAGCATCGCCTGGGTATGGACCAGGGAGGAAAGGGGCAAAGGAAGGCAGGCAGGTGATAACAGTTTTAAGCAGAGTAAGCTTGAGTGCTGCCCACAAATGTTTGGTTATTTCATTCCAGGCTCACAGTGGGGTTGCATTTCTCTGCCACCCTGAGCTGAGGCATGGTCTTATGCTTTGCTGGAGCCAAGAAAACAATGGTTAAGAGCACATGAGTGGTTCACTGTGCAATCACGAGAGCATGTGGCAAGGTAGAACCTCCATCAGTCAGGGTCCTATGTGTCTGTGATAATATGAGTTTCCTTTCCACTTTCGGATGAACAAGTAGCATCAGTAGGGCACTGTTACTTCAAATCAGAGATTTCAGAATCCTTTGTTGCCACAGTATAGCCTAGTGTGGCGATTGCCAACCTTTCGGACCTCACAGACCACCAGTGGTCTGCAGATAGCTCCATTCAGCATCTAGAACAGTGCTCCCACATCGGAGACACACCTAAGCACTTACTGAATAAGTTGAAGAAGAATGTGCATAATTATCAAGAGTTTAAGCACAGGAACCCGACAGTCTGAACCCATTTCCCATCCCTGCCACATCTAGCTGTGTGACCTTGGGCACTGAAGTTCCCAGTTGGTGACTGCTAGTGCCTGACACATAGGCCCTGGCCCAGACCATCCTCAAGGTTAGGAAAATAGCGTCTTCCTGTCTGCCAGCATGGCTTATTTTAGACCTGATGGCAGAGGTGGAAGTGGGTGGGGGAAGCCAACTCCTTAAACACAGACTCCATAAGCCTGCCTTCATCCTGTGTCAATATTTTTCTCTTGAGAAACTTGAAGTGGTGAATATGACTTGATAATTGTTTAGAGTCCTAGGATTCTACTTTCTCTCTATATAGATAGAACATGTGTATATATAATGAGTATGACTAAATAGATATAATCTGTATAATTCATTCTTCCTTCTGAATGATATATATCCAGCCTGGCCGGTGTGGCTCAGTGTTGTGCCCCGACCTATGAACCAGGAGGTCACGGTTCAATTCCCAGTCAGGGCACATGCCATGGTTGTGGGCGCCATCCCCTGTGGGGCATGCAGGAGGCAGCTGAACAATGGCTCTCTCTCATCATTGATGTTTCTCTCTTTCTTCCTCTCTGAAATCAATAAAAATATCTTAACAATACAATAAATAAATAAATAAATAAATAAATAAATAAATAAATATTACATCTATCCAGGCGTAGTTCAGATATATCTGGGTTTCAATCTTATCTCTGCCACCTACTTCAGTACAGCTTTGGGCCTGGCACTTTAGCCTTCTAAGTCTCTGGGTTTTTAGCATCTAAAATGGGACAGTGATAGCACCTACCCCATCCTGCTATTATGGGACAATTCGTGTGGAAGTAGAACTGATACACATTTGGTTGAATCCACAGAGGCAGAACCTGCTAATACAGAGGGCTGACTGTTCTTATATTCTAACAGGTCCACAACTTGGAAACAGGTCTTCTGATTAGCAGCCCAGAGAATAGGGCCTGAATCTCTTTTATTGATTTTAGAATGGAGCCACGATCTAGCAGGTGGGTGGTCACACTGACCTCACTCCTCTCCCTAGCCCTGCCCATGCCTCTCAGTGCCCTTTAGCACTGAGAATGTAGGGCAGCAGTTCTCAACCTGTGGGTCGCGACCCCTTTGGGGTCGAACGACCCTTCCACAGGGGTCACCTAAATACATCCTGCATATCAGATATTTACATTACGATTCATAACAGTAGCAAAATTACAGTTATGAAGTAGCAATGAAAATAATTTTATGGTTGGGGGTCACCACAACATGAGGAACTGTATTAAAGGGTCGAGGCATTAGGAAGGTTGAGAACCGCTGTCCTAGATGAACACATAGCATCAGGAAATTCTGGAAGAGCAATGGGATTTAAGTATGAACATGAACATGCAGAAAAAGCTAGACTGCCCAATTTAATATTGCCATACTCTGAATAATCCAGAAGAAATGAATGATTTTAAAATGAATCCCTGGCCCTAGCTGGTTTGGCTCAGGGGATAGAGCATCAGCCTGCGGACTGAAGGGGGTCTCCACAACATGAGGAACTGTATTAAAGGGTCGCGGCATTAGGAAGGTTGAGAACCACTGATATAAAGGGACCTTCAGCCACCTACAAGCTCTATGATACATAAAATCTTCCGTGCAAGGCATTCATCTCCCCCAACAAGCCTCTCCTTTGAGTGCCCCGTTGAGACTTACTTCAAAGCGGTACATCAGGAAGTTGTAGGGTTTCCGGAAGTATTTCTCATCATCCCCATAGTACAGACGCTCACAGGCTGGGTCGTATCGAAGTTCCCTCCATTCGCCGTTGTATACCGTCTCACACTGGCCACCATAATACCTGGCATCGTACACATTCTGAGCTTCTGTCCGGGTCAGGATATTATACCTAAATTGAAAAGGCAGGCAGATAGCACAAAGTAGCCTCTGGACGATGTTGCAGCTGGTAGCCTGAGCAGTGGTTTCTCAAACTGTGTTCTGTGGAGTCCTCAAAGTACCTTGAAGGTCACTTTGGGTAATGATCGGAGACTGAGTGAGCTGGGCCTGGGCCTTTAGGCTCCCTTTAACCAGAGCACCAGATAGCTCCATTCAGCATCTAGAACAGTGCTCCCACATCGGAGACACACCTAAGCACTTACTGAATAAGTTGAAGAAGAATGTGCATAATTATCAAGAGTTTAAGCACAGGAACCCGACAGTCTGAACCCATTTCCCATCCCTGCCACATCTAGCTGTGTGACCTTGGGCCAAGCATTTAACTCTCTGTGCCTCGGTTTAATAATTTGGAAAAAGCAGTTAATACTACTGCCCTCATAGAGTTAAACATCAAGCCAAAACATGCAAAGGAATCTTACTAGTTATTAGCATAGATTAAGTACTAAATAAATGTTGCTGCTAGTATTATTTCAGAAAATAATACTGCTGATAAAAAAAAATATAGGTTTGAAATTTTTGGGGTAAGTCAGTGCTAAGCTGAGAATCTAATCCTCAAGGAGGCCATTGTCTTCAAGGAGGCATGGAATGTTGGAGGGTGCACAGTTTGAAAGTCCGGGAGACTCCTGTTTAATTTCCAGTTCTGCCATTTACTAGCTGTGAGAATTTGGACACATTCTAGAATCTTCCTGAAGGTCATTTTCCTCACTTGAAGAACAGACATAAATAAAACTACCTCTCAGGGTTTTTGTGAAGTCTAAAAGAAAGTGTTAAAGTCAAACAGAAGTCAAGTTGATAGTACATATTAGGCACTCAACAATTGTGCTTCCTTTCCCTGAGCCTGCTACTGTTCCAGAAATATTTTCCCATGCTTCCCTCTCTGGGGTATTTCAAAACTATCTGCTTAAGTTCTGTATTTTAGTCCATGGATGGTTTAACCTTATTTAGATAACAATAATGTTAAACAGTTGAAATACAGCTTTAATTTTCTAACCAGAGAAAGTTAATTGAACAGAAGCATTTAAAGAGTTGGTACGAGTTCCAAAATCTGACAATCAAAGCCTTCAATGCTCTAGACAATAAAATGATTGCCTGTTTCTGCCTCTCAAACTCCTATTCCGCCTTCAGGATGCAACTCAAACATTGCCTCCTCTGTATTGCCTTCTTTGATGATCTTGGGCAGACAGTCGCCCCTCTTCTGGGGGTCCAATGGCATTCAGTGCTTATCTTGTCATATTTGTCTGTGGCCTCTGTGGAAAGGTGCAAAGGCAGTAAGATGTGTAAAAACTAAATAAAACCTGCTTCAGAAAAGTAAATGGACAACTATAGAGCACCTGGCATGTAGTAGAAATTAAATGTAAATGAACTTCCTTCTTCTCTTCCTTTCTCAACCTCTTTCCTCATATTAGTGGAAGTGAGTAATAATAGCTCTGATGGATTGAATACACACTCTGCCAGACATTTAGCATACATTAGCTTTCAACCCCATGACAGTTTTGCCAATACAGAAATTGAAGCTCAGAAAAATTAAGTAACTTGCTTGTAATCGCAGCTAGATTTTTTTCCCCCTAGAGTTTTTTGGACACAAATCTGGGTTCTTTTCCTTTACTTCTATATTTTCCTTTACTTCTGCACTTTCTATCTTTCCCCCTAGTGAATGGTTTCTGCCTGTAGTTTATAAATTCAAGCTCTCTAACAGGCCAAACAAAAACTCACGGGAATAATATGTCCTAAGCTTATATGTAACCTCCAAGCCTACATCTATTTGGGAAAATCTGGTTGCAGAAGCCCTAGTGAAAAGAAAAAGACAGTTGAGAAATTCTGCTTTTTGGAATTCTGCTATGTAGAAATATTCACACGTGTGTAAAACAATGTGTATAAGGATGTTCACTGCAGTGTTTGTTTATTAGAGAAAATGAAAAACAATCTATCTTTCTATTGGAAGCAGTTAAATAAGTTATCATATATTTATACTATAGGAGAAGAGTCGACAAACTTTTTCTTTTTTTACAAAGGGCCAGATAGTAAATATTTTGGACCTTGCAGGCTACATGTCTCTGCTGCAACTACTCAGCGCTGCCATTGTAGGGTAGAAAGCGTGTTCCAGTAGGACTATATTTACAAACACAGACAGCAGGCTGAGCTTGGCCTGCAGGCCATACTGTGCTGCTAGAGAACATAATATGGTACTTAAAAAGAGACAATGAAAAATATGGGGGAAATCTTCAAAATGTATTAAGTGAAAAAAGCAAATTGTGGACTATATATAGCAGGATCACATTTATGGAAACTAATGTCTATAATGTACAATACATATTATAGGCACATTTTCCAAGCAGTGTATATTGCCCATGCATTTTCCCATGATCTGGAAGTCCCTACACCACGCTGTTACAGGGTCAGCTCTAGGAAGGGCTGAGAGAGAGGGCGATGGGTGGGTACAGGTCAGGGAGGGTGAGGGAAGACTCAATTTTACAGAAGTCAAACATAGGTGACGACTGTAATAATAAATACAAATTAAAAACTAGGAAAGGCTTCAATTAGAAAAAAAGATTTCTGGAGAGGCTCCTAAGATCTTGAATAGAAAAAAAATAAAAATGTCAGCTGCTGGGAGTGGAGAAGGAGCGATTCTAGTGGTTTCAGTGTCTGGTGTGGGCAAAGCAGGAAGCTCCTGAGCAAATCTGTGATCTTTGTGCCAATAAGAAGGTAATTATGTTTCAAGTCAAGCCTCAACATTTTATGCTTCTACTCTGTTCACCTGACAGTCACTTTTAAAATCTACAACAATCCCCTTTTATTGGTGTAAGGGGCTAACCTTCGTTCCCCCCTAACATTCATATGTTGAAATCCTGACCCCCAAAACCTCAGAATTTGACTGCATTTTTGGTGGTAGAGTCATTACCGAGGTAAATAAGTTAAAAGGAGGTCCTTAAGGTGGGCTGTAATCTTGTTAAAAGAGGAAATTTGGACCCAGACCCATATGGAGGGAAGACCATGTGAACATGCAGAGAGAAGATGGCCATCCACAAACCCAGGAGAGGGGCCTCAGAGGAAACCAGCCTGCTGACACCTGGCCATAGACCAGCCGTGGGCAAACTACGGCCCGCGGGCCGGATCCGGCCCGTTTGAAATGAATAAAACTAAAAAAAAAAAAGACCGTACCCTTTTATGTAATGATGCTTACTTTGAATTTATATTAGTTCACACAAACACTCCATCCATGCTTTTGTTCCGGCCCTCCGGTCCAGTTTAAGAACCCATTGTGGCCCTCGAGTCAAAAAGTTTGCCCCACCCCTGCCATAGACCTTCAGCCTCCAGAACTGTGAGAAAGTACATTTCTGTTGCTTCAGCCACCTGGTAGGTGATACTTTGTTATGGCAACCCCAGCAAACTAATACTATTAGTCAGAAAGAAAATGGAATTTTAGAGCCTTGTCATAAGTGTGTATCTATGTGCGCTTACAGGACTCCATCCTATCTGGTTGGTTTGCTGTGGTGATATTAGAGCAGTTAAGCCGTAATGAAGGCGAGCTGCACCTCCCAGCACCCTCCCCTGGCCCTGCCTGGGCTGCACCGTGGCCGGGTCACTCTGTGATGATTACTCCATCTCCCCGCTCCCTCATCTGCAAAGATCCAGTTCATCCTATTGATTTCTTCCATTCAGCCAATACTCAGTGAGAGGCTCTTGTGGGGAAAGCTCTGACATCAGGCTCAGGTGATAAAAAGGAGTCAGAGCAGCCTCTCTGCCTTCAAAGAGTTTACATTCAAGTTAAGGGACAGGATCCAGGGCCAAGAGGAAGTGCCAGGGAGCTGACTACTGGTCACTAGGGGTGTGGCCTGTGCTGGATGCTGCAGAAGCAGAGGTGAGGAGGAGTTCTTATCAGGGGCCGAAGGACATTGTATCAGATGTCCCAGCCCTGCTGGATATGCGCTGGGAGGCTAGGACACACAAAGGACTCTGGGAGCAACAAGAAGGGTAAGCCAGCCTAGACCTGTCAGAAAGGAGGAGTGTTGAGAAGAGTGGAGGAGGTGATGCATAGGTATGGTAGCTCGGGCTGTCATAAAATACCACAGAATGGGTGACTCAGGGAATAAACATTTATTTTCTCACAGTTCAGAAGGTTGGAAGTCCAAGATCAAAGTGCTGTCAGGATTGGTTTCTGGTGAGGCCTCTTCCTGGTTGCAGATGGCCCCTTTCTCACTGTGTCCTGACATGGCGTCTTCTCTGCATGTTGTGAGAGCAATCTCTGGGGTCTCTCCCTCTTCTTATGAGGTCATGAGTCCTATTGGATTACAGCCCCTCCCTATGACCTCAGTCAGCCTTAATAATCTCCAAATACAGCCACACGGAGGTTAGGGCTTCAACTGATGCATTTTAGGGGGACAAAATTTAGTTTATGGGGAAGGACATTTCAGAAAGGAGAAATTTAATGTATTAAGTCTCAAAACAAAAGAGTGATGCATTCAAGGAACTGACCCTGAGCAGAATGTATAGGATAAAGTTAGAAGCAAGGCTGACTGAATCTCAACAGATAAAGACACTGTGCCTGGGAGGTGTGAGTGAGCACTCATAAAGTAGAGAGTCAGGCATCTCTCCATATCACCCCAAATCCATCTTCTTTGCCCTATCAGCCCTGTTAGCCCTGCTTATACCAGCAAGTGCAGTCCAAAGCCGGATGTGAACAGGGCTACTGGGGAGGGCACTCGGGTCAGAGAAGCACCATCTTCTGAGACATCAGGGAAGCACTCATGGGAGACGTGGCTTCTTAGAGGGGCCTTGGCGATGGAATTGGGGTGAGAGGAGTGAGCAGTGAGTGGGCAGGGGAAAAAAGAGAGGGGAACTCTCAGAGACATAGAGGGGGAAACAAGTATGGCATGCAGGCAGGACTGGGCAAGCCCCCTGTTATAGACTGAGTGTTGTATCCCCCCAGATTTAATATGTTAAAGTCCTGTTCCCTGCTGTGATGGTGTTAGGAGGGGGGGCCTTCAGGAGGTGCTTAGATCCTGAGGGTGGAGCTCTCATGAACGGTATTAGTGCCCTTATAAAGGAGACCCCCACAGAGATCCCTAGCCCCTGCCACCTTGTGCAAGAGGGCCCTCACCTGACAGTGCTAACACCCTGATCTCGGACTTCCATCCTCCAGAACCATGAGAAAGACATTTCTGTTATTTATAAGCCACCTAGTGTGCGACACTTTATTATAGTCCAACAGGACTAAGACACCACCTTCAATGGACAGTGACAGCTGCCTCATGGGAAGCATTCCAGAGGAATCCTCCAAAAAGACCCTCTTCTGTCTCCAAAACTAATATTTATGACTGAAGAGAAATCATTCCCTGCTCCCGAATGGCCAGAAGGCATGGACTCACCCAGAGGCTGCCCTCTCGGATCCTGGAATTGGTTCATACAGGGTGCAGTCGTCTTCAATGACCCTGACATCGTCACAGTTGTCCTCGTCAGAGCCGTCAGAGCAGTCCTTGTCTCCATTGCACACGAGGTGGCGTTTCAGGCAGCGACCTGAGAGAGGAGGCTGTGGATGCTCCTAGAGCCTCCCAGACTCCTCCCTCTCCCTCATGACCCACATCCATCGTCACCAAGTCCATTCCACCTCTGAATTGCCCTCAGCCCTCTCCATCCTATTGCATCCTTCTTTTGTCCTCTCTAACTTCCAGCCTCACTGTCTCCCTCCTGCAGCTCCAGCTCAGGTCCTGCCCCAGGCTCCCTTCTAAAATCTAGCCTCCTCATTACTGCTGAGGTAGTCTTTCTAAAATGCCAATCTGGCTCTGTCATCCCCCTGACCTGTATCCTCCAGTGTCTCCCCATTCCTCTTCCAAAAGCTACAGTCTGACCCCCAGTTCCTACCTGGCCCATCCCCTGCCTCTCTTCCCAAAGACCTGATCTGTAATTATTCCAAACTGACAGGGAACCTTTAAATCCTCGTGTTTTGCACATTCTTTTTCCTAGAAATTCTTTATTTTCCAAGTCTCAGTTCAAGTATCATTTTGAAGCCTGCTCAAAGCAGATTTATGCACCCCTGGACCATGTGCTAATGCCCATTCCCCTGGCTCTCCCACAATATTGTCATAGACTCCTTGTAGGCCTCTCTCCTAAGGAGACTAGGAGTACCTTGAGGTCAGTCATATTGGTGGGTGTTTTTTTTAATCTCTATATCACCAGCAGGTAGCCTACTGCCTGACATGTAATATATGCACAATCAATATTTATTCAATGAAAGGATAAGTGAGTGAATTATATCTTTTTGAAAAGAACCAACAGATTTTCCTACAAACTTACATCAAAATTACTTGGGTTATTGACTTGGCTTAAAATGCAGGTTCCTGGGCCCCATCTTAAGCCGTTGCTAGGGGGAAAGCTCAGGAGTCCCCCTTTTAACAAGCTCCCAGGGAAGTGTTTTGCATGTTAAGGTGATGAGCACATCTGCTATTCCGCTGGAATGTTACTCACCTGTCTCTTTACACTGGAAATCCTGTCCACACTGTGCTGGCCTTGCACAAGCTGTGGGTCTGCGACAGCTGATTTCATCCCAGACGTCTCCACTGCAGATGGTCCCCCCAAACTTGTTTGGCTGCAGCAGGCTCCGGTGTCGGTACTAAATCAGATTTTGAACCAGACACATTCATTGTCTCTCAATCAACCAAGAGTTGTACAGGCAGGTCTCAGCTCAGCATAAGGAATAACTGTGTAATGATTGAGAGCTGCCTAAAAGGCTGTCTTTTGAAGAAGAGATCAGTGTTCATAAAAAGGGATATTCAACCAGAGGTGGCACAGTCGCCAGCTGCAATATTGAATAAGGCCTTCAAGCACAAATGAAAGGCTTGAACACCATATGTCTAGGATCTTCCTAATTCCTGGGAAGAACCTGCTCCTCCCTTCTTCAACCAGTTAGTTCCTATTCACCTTTCGAGATTCATGGTATAGCTCCTCTGAAAGCCTTTCCTAACTAATGGATTCTACAGTTCCCTGTGCATTCCTCTCTTTCTAGATCTTGTCATAGGGCTATGATTGATTGTCCACTTCTTTGTTTACCTTTCTCACTAGTTTAGGAACAATTTTCACATGGGGGTAGGAGCGGAAAAGGAAGGCCCATGTCTTCATTGCCTCAGTGCCTTGATCTATAGTCAGGTACACAGGAGACACTGTTAGAAGAAGTTTGTTGCCTTGCCAGCTTGGCTCAGTGGTTGAGCGCTGACCAATGAACCAGGAGGTCATGGTTCGATTCCCAATCAGGGCACATGCTCAGGTTGTGGGCTCAATCTCCAGTGTGGGGTATGTGCAGGAGGCAGCCAATCAATGTTTTTTTTCTCATCATTGATGTTTCTATCTCTTTCTCCCTCTCCCTTCTTCTCTGAAATCAATAAAAAGATATATTTTTTAAAAAAGACGTGTGTTGCTTTTCTTCCACGGCATTTCTTCTGGTCATGGCGTCCTCTCTTTCCTTGAGACATAGCTCATACAGTTCAGTGGGGATGAGCTCCTCCCCTCAGTCACAGGGATGTCTGAGTATGAACCAGGCCAGGCAACCAGAGCTTCCTATCTCCAAGTTGCAATGATTGGCTCAGGGAGTGGCTCATGGCTCAAGCTTAGGGCAGACGGAGTCCTCTCTGAGGGTTTTCTTTCAGAGCTACTGGGAAAGACCATTTCTTTTTATTGAAGTTACTGGGACTGTGGGCATTGAGTGGTAATCTTGCCTACTATGTAGAAAGAGCCCATTCAAGAGTTAGACAAGGAGAGCTCTAAGACATCATCTGAGGCCCTGGGTCCAGCTTTGACTGCAGATGAATGAATACTTGTTGAGAGGAGGACAGAAAGAATAAAAATGCACCCCAGTCTTGGAGCTTTATGTTTTCATGATACTGTAGAAGGAGAAAGCTGAATATTAGGATATCCAGAGACATTTAGTACCCACCCCTGCCTTCAAGAAGCTTAGAGTCTAGCTGAGGAAATAAATCATATAATAATACAAAACATGCTGTATGGAGAGCTCCTTACAAAATGTTCAATAAGGCGACGTGCCACCCCATATTTTTGCTGCCTCTGACCTTGAATCAACTCTTCAGGCCTCTCCTTCAAGAATGTTAGTAAGGAAGTAGAAAGCAATGATTTGAGCAGTAAGAGATATGGGCTCCTGATCTGAATCTATTTCTCACTTTTTGTGTAAAGTGCAGTATTTGGTACTGTGTGTCTCGGTTTCCAAATCTATAAAAATTATGCGGTTGATCTAGTTGACCTCACTAATAACAATTACCAAAGGTACTAAAGATTCTTTTACTGTGTCCTACATTTGGAAGAGCCAGGGCATGAGAATTAGACTGACTTTGGTTCAGATCCCAGATTCATTACCAACTGACCCTGAACAAGTCACTTACCTTCTCTGAGCATCCAGCCTAGCAACATAGAGCCAGTTCCCTTTTCTACTCCTTAAAAAGTTCATCCGAATTTTGAGGCCTGCAGTTACCAACATGGTGATAGTGGTACTGGTACCTACCCTGTATTGAGTGCATATTATTGTCCAAACTCTTCACATTCTTTACCTCATTTAATCTCACAAGTTTGAGAGGTTATGTACTACTATGGACCCCATTTTAGACTTGGTTGGAATTCCAGTTCTATTTACCATGCATGGTAAATTGCTTTATATCTCTGACCCTCAGTTTTCTCATCTATAAAATGACAGCTATTTCAGCATATTGTGAATATCTGTGATAATACATGTAAAAAACTAGCACTTTGCCTTATTGCTGGCATGCAATCAATAATCATAGTTATCGACATCATCATCATTCTTGTAGCCAACTGTTGGGCTACTCCAGAAGGATTTATGACTGAGTGGAAATTGGATCAGGTGACCCCCTAATGTCATTGTTATTCTCCATCGTGTTCTGGGAGAGGCCGTAGAGTGAAGTGGTCAGGCACAATGGGCACTTGAGAATCACACTGATCAAGTTTTAAACGCGGGCTCTGCCACTTCCTTAAAGGGAGACCCACGCAAAGGGGATGATGAGATCTATCATGTAGAGTTGGCTGTGAAAGTCAATAAGACAATTTATTTAAAGCATTAGCACAGTGCTGGCATATAGACATTACTTCACAAATAGTGACTGTCCTCGCCATTATCATCCTTCCTGTGGTGACTCTACTGGAAATAATGGTGCAAACATGAGGTTTGTCCCCACTGGCTCCCTGTTTTCTAGGTTGTTACCAAATAATGAAGAGATTGTGTTGCAGGAAGGTTGGTGGGGACATTCCCTGAGGGATTTCTTCGTGCTGTAGCCTGTGGTGGGTGTCATTAAGACGTAATTTCCTCTTTTAGCTCCTAGATAATGTTTCTTTCCAGAAATGCACATCTTTGTGTGATTTCGAGAGGAAGAAACATATTAATACTAGTAAAAAGAAACTAGAGTGTCTTTCACTTCACAGGATTTAATTATTTTAAGGAAATCATTCAATTCTGATTTAACCTATAAGTCATTCACTTGTGCTATATGCTATCTAAACTGCAATGTATGAGAAAATGCAGTTTGGGATATATGGTAGGTTGAATAATGGCCATGTAAAAAAAAAGAAAGAAAGAAAGAAATCTTAACCCTTGAATGTTGTGAATGTTACTTTATTTGAAAAAAAGGGTATTTTCAAACATTATTAAGGTTTTTGAGATGAGATTACTCTGGATAATCCAGGTAAGCCCTCAATGCCATCACAGTGTCCTTATAACACAAAGGAGACACACAGAGGAGGAGACAATTGACCACAGACGCAGGGATTGGAGTGATGGAGCCACATGTCAAGGATTGTCAATAGCCACGAGGAGCTGGAAGAGGCAAGGAATAGATTCTCCTCTGGAGCCTCCAGAGGGAGGGTAACCCTGCTGATACCTTAGTTTCAAACATCTGGTCTCCAGAATTTGGAGAGAATAAATTTCTGTTGTTTGTGGCAATTTGTTACAGATGACCCAGAGAACTACTACAGGATCTCAGAGCAAAATGAGCATTTGGGGGCCAGTCTCGAATGAAAACTGTGGCAGCCTAGGGTTCTTTGGCATATGTCGGAGATGGGAGTGGCAGAACAATGAAGTTCAGGGTTTGAAGTTGAATAAACTAGGCCCAAATGATGTTTCTACCACATTGTGGTTTTCAACAGCTCATCAAACATTCGTGGGCACTTTCACATCTAACTAAAGAGTGGATCTGGAGTAAGTAGGACCATCAGCCAACTCTGCTAAAGCTCCTGTAAGAAAAGGACAAGGTGCCTAGCCGGTGTGGTTCAGTGGTTGAGCATTGACTTATGAACTAGGGATTCTGTACAAAGTCAGAAATTTAATATTCCTCCCCGCTGGAACAGCATTCCTTCCAGCATCCCCCTTCCTTTGATATACCACTGAGTTTACCCACCATTGTGGACCATTCAAAAACACTTAGGCGTGCATGATAGACACATATTGGTTCATTGGGTGTGTCTTCCTTTTCAACCTATGGAAGTGGAATCCTCAGGAGCCCCCTCTGTGATATGCTCTGGTTTGTCTCATCTCACTAGCGTCATGGACAGTGAGGCATTTGTTCCTAAGCCATTTGTCCCTTCATATGGCCCTTATTAGAAGGCAGTAGATTGGCCAGAACCCAGAGAGGCCATCATGGGTCAGTGTGCCCCTGTCCAAATAACCACTTTTCTGAGTATAAGCCTATAGCATACACATATTTTGCAGCTTCACCCAATAATGCCTTACAAACAAAATCAGGAGAGGCAAAAAAAAGTTCTACCATCCACGTACCCATGGCTTCCAACTACCTATTTCTAGAACCAATTTCTCCCCATACCTTCAGATTTATAGGCCTTGGTGCTTATCTTATTTGAATGCCTGTACACAACTCAAATATTAAATGCCCCCAAACTGGTCACAGTGTCTTACCTTTCTGTCCTGGCATTGAATGCATTCTGTCCACTCTGACCAGTCACTCAGCTGGCAGTTCACTGCTGTGAATGTCAAGCTCCCAGCCCCCCGACTCACTCTCCTAAAAGAAGAAAGATCCCAGCTTCAATTTAAAATTTTTTATTATAATTCCAAAAAGCCTTTTAATAGGAAGGCATGTTAATAATAGGAAAACAGATGCTGAATTTTTTTCTGTTTTATTGAGGTATAATTGACAAAAATTATATATATTTAGGTATGCTATAAAATATCCTTCTAATAATAAAGAGATGATATGCAAATTAACCCTCACGCCCTCACAAGATAGCTGCCTATGACCAGGCCAGCAGGGGGGTTAGTGAGGGACGACCAAACGACTGGACAGTAGGCTGTGTGGGGCTACAGGCCGGTAGGGGGGCGTGAGGGGCAACCAGGCCAGCAGGGGGGGGCAGTTAGGGGCAATTAGGCTGGCAGGGGTGCAGTTAGGGGCAACCAGGCAGGCAGGCAGGTGAGCAATTAGGAGCCAGTGGTCCAGGATTGTGAGAGGGATGTCTGACTGCCAGTTTAGGCCCGATTCCCGGGGCCAAAACTGGCAGTCAGACATTCCCCAAGGGGCCCATATTTGGGAGGGTGCAGGCTAGGCTGAGGGGACTCCCCCCTCCCCCCCTACCCCCCATGCATGAATTTCATGCATGGGTAGAGTCCCTAGGCCTGGCCAGCCATCAAGGCCGATCTGTAGGGAGACCGGCGGGGTGATCAGTGGCCTCCCACTGGCACCCACCTTGGCTGGCCTGGGGTCTGTGGGATGGGGGCAGCTTCTGCATTGAGCATCTGCCCCCTGGTGATCAGTGTGCATCATAGCAACTGATCGTTCCACCGTTTGTTCTGATGTTCGGTCGATTTGCATAATAGGCTTTTATTATATAAGATATATAAATAATTACCACAATGAAGCTAATTAACAAATCCATTACCTTGCAATTACTTTTTTTGGAGGGGTGAGAGCACTTAATACATTGTTTGTGGGTAGTTTTTATCACGCGCTAACAGGTGGCTCTACTTCTTACAGTCAACGTAAAACATATAAATACGTTTCCCGAATACAATGTGTTAATACCTACTCTTTTAGCAAATTTCAAGTAAATATACAATACAGTATTAACTATTGTCACTGCACTGTATATTGTGTCACCAGAACTTACTCATCCTAGAACCAAAAGTTTTTTCTCTTTGACCAATCTCTCCCCATGTTCTCCCCTCTTCTGTCCCTATAACCACTTACTATCATCTACTCTCTGGTTCTATGAACTCAACTTTTTTAGATGCAGTATTCTCTTCCTCCATCTGGCATTTCTCACTTAGCATAATGTCCTCCAGGTTCACCCTATGTTCACCCACAAATGGCAGGATTTCTTTTTTTATGGCTGAACATAGGCTGACTTTTCTAAGTTGTAAAGTTTGCCCATTGATTTGGGCATCTGTGTACCCATGGCAGCAATGTCACAAGATATTCCCTTACCCTTCCAGTTATCTGGAGGCGGGAGTGGGCAGAGAGCAGGGGGTGGAGGGAATGTTCAGGGATGCTCAGTTATTCTTACCTGGAAGGCTTGGTTCTAAGGGCATGTCCATACTGGAATGATTTTATCTTCCTTCTTAAGAATTATATGTTGTGTTTTTATTTATTTATTTTTAATATATATTTTTTTTATTTTAGAGAGGGAGAGTGAAATAGAAACATCAATGATGGGAATCATTGATTGACTGCCTCCTGCATGTCCCCTACTGGGGATCAAGCCTGCAACCCTGGCATGTGCCCTTGATTGGAATCAAACCTGGGACCCTTCGGTCCACAAGCTGATGCTCTATCCACTGAGCCAAACTAGCTAGGGCTACACATGGTGCTTTTAAAACAAAAGTTTTAAAAGCCTATTGCCCTTTCTCTTTCCCCCAGTTTATTTTATTGAAGTAAAATGCACAATATAAAAGTTACTATACTTTTAAGTGTGCAGTTCAGCAGCATTAAGTACATTCATGTTGTTCTGCCACCATCACCACCATCCATGTCCAGCACTCTTCATCTCTCTGTATCAGTTTTAAGTTTCCAAGCTTAAACAAAGGAAAAGCTGTGCATATTTTCCTTCCAGTCAGTCACACTTTTAAGAAATGAAAAATGAAAATTTTATCATGCCCCTGTTCTTACAGGTATGATGCTAGAGGGTTTATATAAAATCTATAAAATCATTCTATATGAATCTTATTTTTACAGAGATGAGTACTGAAGAGAATTAATATTTTTGAAGAGTCTGAGTAGCAAAAAGCCAGTGGGTAAAAACATGGGGTCTTGGGTGAAGAGACTGAGTTTTAATCTTAGCCCCCCACTGACTTTGAAAACTTGAACTTCACTGAGCTATAGCTCTCCCATCTGAAGAACTATGTTAGCAATATTAGTTAACAGGTTTATTGAAAGCACATTAAAATGCTTATAAAGTGTTTATTAAAGATTGGCTTTTATTATTACACACTAGAACATCACATGGATTTTCTCATGTAATCTCTATAACGATCCTAGGAGGTAAATATAATCAGTCCTATCTACACTAATAAAAGAGAAACATGCAAATTGATGTCACTCTGCTACGCCCACCAGCCAATCAGATGAGTATGCAAATTAACCCAACAAAGATGGCGGTTAATTTACATACGCAGGCTCAGAGTGAAGACTGAAGGCTCTGGCCGGAGTGAAGACTGAAGACTGAAGACTGAAGACTGAAGACTGAAGACTGAAGACTGAAGACTGAAGACTGAAGACTGAAGACTGAAGACTGAAGAGGCTTGGCTTCTCCGCTGCAGCCGGACCAAAGACCTGGGTCCCAGGTGCTGGAGGAAAACTGGTGCCGGCAGCCAGGGAAAGGAAGGCCTATTGCATGAATCTTCATGCAAAGGGCTTCTAGTTTTACATATAAGAGAGTTGAGATCCTAAAAGCTAAGTAATCCTGAAGTCATAGCCCAGAGTGACAGAGGCAGAATTTGAACTAGTTGGCTTGATGGCAAAGCCCATCTCTTGCTCCTCATGATGTTTGTCTGGCTCCAAGCCTGAGCCTCTTTCCATAGCATCACCACCACTGCTCCTATACCTTCAAAGCCTGGTCAGCCCACTGGGCAAAGTAGTCAGGTTGTCTGTTACCACCCACGTTGCCACAACCTCTGAGAATCAGGCAGCCTCTTCTGTAATGAACGGAACAACTATCTCCCTACTGTAGAATTAAAAAGTACTTCAAATCTCATGCTAATTATGCCAGAGCTGCGACCCATGAGGAAGGATGGCACCTAGGCTGCACTCCTAGACAAGGTAGTCAGGAAAGTGACTGTCTTTAACACTAGTTCTCAAACTTGGGTCCCAGGACCCTTTTATACTATAACCTGCTACTGAGAACTCCAAAGAGCTTTTGTGTAAGTGGACTAGAGCTATTGATATTCACAAAATTCAGAATTGAAACTGAGGAAAACTTAAAATATATATTTATCTATTTAAAATTACAAAAATAAACCCATTACATGTTTCAATATATATAAAGTAAGTGTATTAAAAATACATTTCCAAGAATAATAATTAGTGAGAAAGTGTCATTGTTTTATATTTTTGCAAATATCTTTAATGTCTGGTTAGTAGAAAGCAGCTAGTCAGCTGTGGGCAAACTACGGCCCGCGGGCTGGATCCGGCCCGTTTGAAATGAATAAAACTAAAAAAAAAAAAAAGACCGTACCCTTTTATGTAATGATGTTTACTTTGAATTTATATTAGTTCACACAAACACTCCATCCATGCTTTTGTTCTGGCCCTCCGGTCCAGTTTAAGAACCCATTGTGGCCCTCGAGTCAAAAAGTTTGCCCACCCCTGAGCTAGATTCTCATTTCTGCTGCTTCATTCCATCTGTTGCTTTATGTGGCTTTGGTTGAATTATATGAAAACAATCCCTCCTTGTACATTTATATAGTTGAAAAGTTATGCAGTTAAAGAGTGTTTTAGTAGTCTCTTCAGATAACTGTGGCTGTTCTTTGATACTATACCAAAACTTGACAATGGGCAATTCCTTAAATGTTAGTTGCAATGTGGAATCTAAAAGCATATCAATGAATTTTTTGTACGTTGTTTCATTAAAATCCACTAGTCTATTTATACTTCCAATGGATCTGATACCCATACATGATTTTTGTAACATTAGGCATTGGAAATTTGAAAAATAATGGTTCACTGATTATTCATATTTTAAAAATATTAACACATTCTTATGCAACATAAAAAGTTAAATTTATTAAGATTGCCAGTGATGTCTTCAAGCTCATCATAGTGGATATGTTTTTCCAAAATTTTGATTTTTTTCTTGAAAGCTCAAATTTTGTCATTGGTAACAATAGTGTTATTTTTTTTAAGTGATAAGCTCTCTGTTCATTTTTGAGACAAAATCTGCCAAATATGTAAGCCTGAATAACTGCAGTTTGACAGTTACCCTGTTGAGTAAGAACAATGTTCCAGGGGAAAAGGTGGCTACTTTTACTTAAAACTCAAATGATTGCTTTTACAAAAGACAAACATCATACTTCAGTGCACAAAAGTTCTTGGTGAATTCTTCCCATTTTGACATACAGAACATTTAAATAACATGTATTCAAAGATTGAGGCTTAATAAAATTAATAATTTTTATGTTTCAAAAAGGACTTTCTTGTCCTAGCTGATTTTGCTCAGTGGACAGAGTGTCGGCCCACAGACTGAGGGACCCCGGGTTCAATTCCAGTCAAGGGCATGTACCTAGGTTGCAGGATCAATCCCCAGCCCTGGTCAGGGCACCTGCAGGAGGCAACCAATCAAGGTGTCTCTTTCACATCTATGTTTCTCTCTGTGTGTCTCTCCCATCCCTTCCACTCTCTAAAAATCAATGGAAAAGTTATCCTCAGGTGAAGATTAACAAACAAACAAAAAGACAAAACTTTCTTAAATAAAACTTAATTTATTTCCTGTGAGTTTGGTGCCACCTCCTTGATTTGTATCAAGGCCACAGTAGTTTTACCTGCCATTACTTTTGCACCATCCATGCAAATATAAA